TTCATATTTCTGATGACAATATTTTTCAGAATTTTCATTGAAGCGTTCTGTTCGAAGACCTTGCAAGAACTATCAAATCAGGTATTATCCATAGACATGAACGCGAAGATCTGGTCACCAGACAACAGCGGAATATACCAGACCATTCTGAAATCTGTCTTCTACAACCTCAGATTTCGTCGATTCTAGTGCTAATGATCATTATGCCAAGGGGACAATACAGAAAAAAATTGTGCAACTTGCTATCTGCCTGATTTTACATTTGAAATAGAATAAGAAGTTGAGATTATTAGCCTCAGTTGTTAGTTAGCCCTAGCACATATAGCTCATTCAGTGAACTGAATCGAGATTTGAGACTTTCTGTCAGGAAACCGTAGTGTTACAAAGATCTGCCTCGACTTTCCGATAGCACCGTGTGTCTTATTCATGAATTTGCATAAGCAAGAAATTTTCTGAACGTTGCTTTATACGGGGTTGTTCGGTCGGTAGACCGCTGAACTCAGAATCAGAACCGGGAGGCCCCAAGCTCGAGCCTCGGTCTGGGCCACCAGCCTTTCTTCCTCCTAAGGTTGATAAACGAACTCCACTGCGTTGGCAGATAAAAACACAACATACCATGCTTGCCACAGAGCTGCAGATTCTATCTTAAAAATGTGGCTGATGGCAGAGTAATGAAGATCAGTACCACCCCACAAACCTCATTAAAAGAATGGAACCATCATGGCACCATCGTGTTAGTGTATGATGACTGGCATTCCAACGGTACAACGTCTCTTTTTTTCTTTATAAAGCAGGTATCTTAGCAATTGTAGGAAGCTTAATCGCTGTTTGATTCCTATCACATGAACATAGTGCGTTTTGAGGTTGATTTCGTTTGTAGCAGCGATTGAATTGGAATGAATTTTAAAGATCACCTCTTTGAGATATGCTGTCTTTGCGGATTAATAGATTTTCTCTAGAAAGTCTTACACCTAAGGTGTTACCTTATGGTTCCATAGTCAAAAATATCATTCTTTTTAGTAACTCATTTTTTTGCGCCAGAAAACAAGTCGAGAATTGGATACCAAGTAGCAAACCTGCCAACCACTGAGGTAGAAAGTTAGTGTTACATGGCCATGTGAGATGTCATAAAACAGTGGGCAATCATGTTCATCGTTTGCGTATTTTGTTGCTGTTCTGAGTGTTTGTCTTTTTGATTATTGACTCCATGCCAGCATCAGTGACTTCTGTGCTAGAAAATTGACCTATCATATTTCTTTTCCAACCGAATACCTGTATTAATACTTGGTATCATATCGAAGATGAATGGCTGATTTATATGGCGATTTCATTCAGTGATTCGTAATTCAAATAGTTCGTTTTATAGGGAGAAAACTGCCGTGAAGATATCGATGAATGTGTTCTGTATCACGATACGGAGTTGGGCTGCCAGAATGGCGGAACATGCATTAACATCCATGGAGGATTTAGGTAATGCAGAAAGTACATACTTGAAAAGCATAGGGAGAATTGTTTGATGGCGACATAGCGTGGCTGTCATTAAATTTGCCGTTTCCTTCAAGCCAATGAACCTCACTGCAAATCTGTTGCAAAATTCGGTTTTCTAATTGAGGTTACTTTTAGGTTACCCCGGTTTCTGAATAATATACAAGTCACTCCCTTGGTTTATTGACGTACAGGCTTACACACCCTTCTTGTTAGTTTAAACGACCTAAGTGGCCTATCAACAGACAGTGACTCCGTGGCACTATAGCGCCCTAATTCGTGGCCGAAAAACTGTATATCATTATGTTGGGTTGAACAGCAACATGTTCAAAACACAAATCTCCATAATTCAGATCATCAATGAGAAAGATATAGGGCCTCTGCTGTCATGGTGTGATGCTTTAGAACTTTTTTGATATCTTTTACGATTATGCTTTTCGTACTTATCAGTTATTCGATAAGAAGGCTGTTATTTTTCAGATGCCAGTGTCCATCAAATTGGCACGGTCGTCGTTGTACCGAAAGCAAGGACGAATGCACAACTGCCGGTTCGAATGCTCTTTGTGGTTTACATGGAGCTTGTGTTACTGTAAAGGACCCCGGTCCAGGAGAGGTATACTGCACCATTTTAAAGATTTATTTAATTACTGATATAACTGCGTGAATTGTGGATACCATAAGAAATGGCACTGTAATAAATTCTGTTAAGGCTAGTTGTATGACATTTATAGTTCTAAATAATTTCACTCTATTATACTATAATCCACGAAGCCATATAATACTGAATTTTCTCGTAATATGCGTACTATGCTATGCAGTAGTACACTACACACAATACCACTTTCTCAGTCAGTCGGTATCGAGAATCTCTTGTCATTTCGGGTCGCGGAGGTAAACTCGTCAAACAGTGTTTTCAATGTTCCACATCCAGTGCCAGAGTTTCAGCTTCAGGTTAAGAAAATATGTGTCTGGAGCAGAGTGTGTGTAGGCAATTGCCCCGGGCCATTCTTGGCTGTCCCAGAGGTCTTGAATTGGTCTGTTAGATAGTGGTAGCCGATGCGTCATACTTACTTTGGGAAGCGTTCGCAAGACTTGCCCAACCAGTCGCAGCTACGACTGATCGACCTGGGGAAACAGCTGTAGTATACGAAGGCTGTCTTGGATATATGAACTCTGGACTATGTAGAGATATGTGAGCCCAGTGATGCTTCTCAGAAAGCTCACATCATTCGCTTGCATGATCGAAGTTTTTTAGTCATGGCCAACCAATTTTGACCATAGTTGAGTGTGGGGATGAAGACCGACTTGAAGACGGAAAGCTTAGTTTTCAGATTCAGCAATGCCTTAGTCACTACTGTTAGAGCTAATTCACGCAGAACGCATCCGATCATTCCAATTGGACGCCTGCGATCTGTTTCTTTCATTTTCCATCACCAGTAAACTCGACCTTGAGGTAGTTGAACTTCTCCACTGGCTCTGCTGCTTCTTTGTTTATTTGAAAAGTGCAGCAGACAAGAGATCGAGAAACCAAAGGCTTTTCATTTCATGCATTTAGACTCATGCTGATCACGTCGCACTCGGCCAGAACCTTTCCATCGAGCGTCGTAGATCAGCTTCATAAGGTGCCAGTAAAACAAGGTCATCTGCAAACAGCAACCTCCTCGTCTTCACATCTCCTACAATGATACACTCATTGCTTTGGGTGCTTCCGACTGTTCTATTCATGTAAAACACAAACAGGAAAGTAAACCGAATGCAACCTTTACGGAGAGCAGTACCAGGGCCAAAAAATCTCGACTTAACGCCATTTACTTTGACGCAGCACCTGCTCTCATAATGCAATAATTGCTAGGCCCGTGCACTGGCTATCGATTTTATGCTCCTCGAGGCAAACCGATAGGTAATTGTACAGTATCCTGTCAGAATTTCTTCAGGTTGACGAAGCAATTGTTCATCGGAGGAGTGAATTTCCATGACTTCTTAACAATACGACGTAAAGTGACGATTGGATCAAAGATGCCTAGACATGACTTTGAGTTCACTCTGCTTATTTTGAGTCCACTGCTCTTTCAGTAATTCCGCGGCACCTCTTTTCTGATACCTTTGCGTAAACTCTTCCCATGAAGCTCTGTTCAAACCGTCGTGCGATGATGCTTGCAAGTTCTGCCCTCACATTAACTAAAAATAATGTTTCTCATTTAATTTTCAGGTTGCTTCTGCCGCTAGGTCATCGCATGATACTAGATCATTTGCTGTTGAGGGTGACAACAACAATGTGATGAACGGTTGAAAGCTAGGCACCTTTCTTAACTCGTAACATCCATTTCAGTGTCATGTTTCAGACGGTATAATTGTCATAGTAGTCGCTGGCTTCTGTGAGGTAGATTATCTCTACCAGATGCAGATCTCATGTACATTGAAAGCATCCATCAGAATGATGGTTTCCGCAGTTGGCGCTTATCCTACGATACTTTCTACTTCATACAGAAGGACTCATGTTCTCTCCTGTGAATTGGACATATGGACCTGCAACAAGGTCAAATTTTTAGCACATTATAACTTCAGTCGGAGGATTGCCACTCTTCTGCCACTAGGCTTCCTTTCAGTGATACTGCCCGAGAAGTTGGGTTCTACCGGAACA